TGGAAAAAATTAAAATGGATAAAACACACAAATTAAAAACTATAATATTTTTCATTCATCAAGCCTTGAAACCTAGGAAGAGTTTTGGGAAAGTTGCTCACTATTTATTGTGTACGTATGCAGAAATGAAGATGAATAAGGAGTGGAGTGTGTGTTATGGAGAGAACAGCAAAGAAGTTGAGGTCCAAAACAAACGAATGAAACGTGAAAAAGAAGTTTTTTACAACACAAATCTTGAAATCCCAGCAAATCCCAAAGAACCATGGGACCGAGAAATGGACTACGATGATTCCCTAACACCCGAAATCCCAATTGAAGAGCTTCCGGATGAAGACGATGAGAATATGAATATGGTAACCCAGGAATCTACACAAACAGAAGTTACAATATCTGAAAATAACAAGCTGAGCAGCATCGGTCCGGATCTTGAACTGTTGGCAGTGTTGCTTAAGAACCCACAGATTGTGTTTGCATTGACGGCTGGTCAAGGTGGGAGCTTGAGCAATGCACAAATGGTGAAGCTTCTTGATGCAATGAAGGCCAATGCGGCTTCTGGTGGCTCCATTGATAACCTTGTTAGCGGCTTATTAGTTGAACCACACAAAACCAAAACAGAGGAGAAGAGGGTGGTTGAAGTATCTTTACCATCTCCAACTCCATCAACCAATCCTGTAACGGTGCGTCAATGTCAACTATATAATAAAAAAACATTATCATGTTTTGTACAAATCCATAATGGTTTATATAATTATCGACCCATTTTCTCCTCTCTCTCTCTCTCTCTCTCTCTCTCTCTCTCTCTCTCTCTCTCTTTTTTTTTTTAAAACCTTTCGGAAGACCTTACAATCGAGAAAGAATGCTTAATAATGCCTGTGAAATTGTTTAAAAAATATTGGGTTGAAATTAATTGCACAATAATTGATTTGGTAACAAAGAAAGATCGATGCGTAAGGTTCCTCCATTTTGGTTGATGGGATAGTAAATACTAGACAGTAATAAACCGGGATTTCATTAAAACAAAAATATAATATAAATTAAAACAGTTTAGTTTATGCTTTGCTGATTGGTTGGTTTTGTTTTGGTTTTATCAGAATGGAATTGGATGGCGGGCGGGGGCGGAAAGTGGTAAAAATCAGTTTAGTTCCCGACAAAGTGTGACGGTTAATGGTGACGCTTACCCCATTCCAGGTGTCCATTTTCAAGAAACCAGTTTGCTGACTCACCAACAATTAAATGCAAATGCAAATGCAAATACTCCAATTACGCATCATCAAAGATTCACCGATTTGGTCCCTGACCAGAGAAACATTCCGGCAACAAGTAATTTGACCCAACAGGCAACTTCTTCTCACCAGAGAAACATTCATGTTCATGGTCAAGGAGTGAACACGTCTTCTAATGATTACTCTTTACCCGCTGTGGGTGGGTCGTATGCATGGGCGGGGCAGGAGAGTCCACATAGTAGTACAAACTACAATGCATATGGTACAAGAGAGGCGGGTCCGGGTCCGGGTCCTTCGTGGGGGAGCAACAGCAACAGCGGAGGATATCATCCTCGTGGGTTTGATTCATGGAGCCCCGAGGATAGCCCGGTTAGGTCTCGTGAATATGATGAGAGGGAGAGGGAGGCTCATAGCCGGAGGAGCTATGGTTATAATTACAATAATAATAGGCCGGAAATGTTGAGAATGCAAAATGAGCATTCTAGGTTTAGAGACCGTGGTGGTGGTGGTGGTGGTGGGGGTGGCCGGAATGAAGCTTCAAGGTGGCGGGATAGGAGGAGATAGATCATCTCCGATTATTGTTAGGTTGATGGACGTTTTCAGTTTTGATTCTAAAAAGAAAAGAAAACAAACAAACAAAATTGACAACTAAAATCTTGTAGCTTCTTTTTTCTTAATTCTATCACGTCACGCCCAAAACACATGAAATACAAGTTAGACTCGAGAGTGTTGTGGATAAACTACCACTAAAACCTTCAAAACAAAACCAAAATTAATATTTTTGGTTTAGCCATTCAGATTTTTTATTTTTATTTTGTTTTTAAAACAATTGCTGTAACCAGCTACGAGCGCTTTACAGTTTACATGTAACCATTTTCACCACAAAACAAAATTTCGAATAATATCAAAACCAAACACCTCAATCGGATATAAAGACCTTTTCTGATTATATAGAAAAAATGGTTTTTATTTTTTTTATTATTTATTTTTTTAAATCTAATCTAAACTTAAACTCCTCTATAATTTCACTATGTGTCTTGAAACTTAAGGGTAGCAAAACCTAATAAGTCTTTTAGAATTCGGACGGCCATCCAACTTTTAGATATTTCATTTTTGGCATGTTTTTTTATTTGTTTTTTGAGATTGGTCTAAACTTTTTTTATAAGAAAATTTTCTAACTTTATTTTTATATGTTTTTAAAACTAGGTTTGTTTTGAAAAAACTTCTAAAACTAGACTTGTTTTGAAAAAACTTCTTTTACAAAATTATTAATTTTACATATTTGTTTTTATGTATATTCTTATTAAAAAATTTCCTTTATAAAACCTTTTTTTTTTTAATTTGTCATCTATTTTTATAAGTATTCATTTTCATGTATGTAAGCTATGAAAACATATAAAAACTACTTTCTTTTAAAGTTGTCATTATTTTTTAAAATTTGTTAAAAATATCAAGTAACCGATTTTATGTTTTAAAAGGATAACAAATTTATTTATTTTTTATATCGTTATTTGCTATCTCGGGCACAATAGGTCCCCACTTCTAAATTTCACAATTTTTGCTTAGATTTTTATTTTTATGCAAATTTTGTCATAAATTAAAATTTTGTTACGGATTCGTACAAAATTTAGTTTTCTACGTGTTTATTTTGCAACAAGTTTGTTAATATTTTTTTATACAAACTAATATGTTTTTTTCTTAACTTTAAAAAAAAAAAAATCAATAATAATATTTTTTGAACCTTTACATTGCTTCATACATTAACAAACTAATTTTTCTCTATGATTGTACGACATTTGGATTTAATGAAATAATAAATATGATACAAAATCAAAGGAATTTTTTTTCTCAGATTGCATCAAATTCAAGTGTCTACGATCAACGAAAAAATAGATTTGCTAATCCATACGAGGCAATGCAAAAGTTGGAAAAAAAAGTTATGAAATATTGTAAACTAAATTTTGGACAAATTTTCTTTAACAAAATATTAAATTCGGATCAAATTTAAAATCTAGGCAAAAAATATATAATTTGAAAAAATACGATCTATTCAACCTGATATAGGAGTTAACCATAAGAAGACATGAGTTCGTTACCATTTTAAAACATAAAAATGATTACTTTGCAACCTTAAAAAATTCTAAAAAGTTACTTAACCAAAAAGACTGATAATTCTTTCTTTTAAATACTCATTTTGCACAAACCAATATATTTTTTTATTTATAATTTTTCATAATTCTACTTAAATTATGTGTTGCTATAGGTAATGGGGTTTTCATATTACAATGTCATAATTGTGTATGAGTTTGTCTTGTGACCATGTTTTTGCATGTGATTGTCACTGTATGTGTGTGGCAAAAACAGAAACATAAAGTATCTTATTGTTTGTGTTTTTGCTGCAATATAATTTAAAATGATTTGTATGCTTTGTTAATTTGTTGTCTAATTTCTCCATCCAAAATGTTATAATTTATTTTATATATTTTTAAATACATTTAAGTTCCATTGAAAATCAAATATTCTATTTAAAAGCATCAATATAACATAAAACCCTTTTATATTCGGGTAATTTAGATTTTGTCACTTTTTAAGCAAACAAAATAGATTTTTTATTAGTAAATATTATGAAACGTTTGGTTGTTGATAAGATAAATTATATTATTAAACAGTAAATCAAGTCGGTTTGTATTTTTCATTGAAGGGGTTTGTTAAATGTAATGGTTTAATAAACAGTTAATATTAGAACTAAATAAAAAAAACCATTTGAAGTGTTCATAAAAACAAATTTTCTGAAAATTTGTTATCAAAATGTAAATTATGTTAAATAGCCTATTTTTCTACTAAATCACCACTTACACATTCGATGGATGAGCATTTGAATCGGACCGGTTTCAAAGAATATTGTGGACTGTGGAGAGGACTAGATAAGACTTACCACTATATCTTAAGTTCAAGGTCGACTCGTTAAAACGAATATATTGTTGGGTTTGCTATGTTACAATTTGTTAAAATAAATACTTTTTTAGGTTTGATACGATACAACTCGTAAAAAATGAATATGTTTCCGTTTTATTGTGCCTTTTGGACCGGTCAAACTTTGATTATTTATATTTTATACCATTTGTTTGAAAGATTATAACCCATTGAATATAAGTATATAACACCAAATACAACAAAAATATAGACTATGTAGGATTTTAGAGTGGTCAACTTCAATGCATCAAAGAAGTCCAAAATGTGATTTCTTTGAACGAATCCACCTTGAACTTAAGATATAGTGGTACAAAGTGCTTCTCTTTCAGACCTTTTCAACGTTGAGAGCAAGCAAAGTTCCAACTAAAATCACTATGCTTAATTGGTTACATAACAAAAGATCATTACTATTAAACAGAGGTATAAAAAAATAACTAACTGAATCAATAAGATTGGAAGAGTTGATAAGCTATGTAAACTTTCTTAATTTTAAAAAACAACAAATCTTAAAAAAGGAATAGGCGCCAACTTACAATTAACTCCAAGAATACATTAAACTTTTATTAAAGAGTTGATAAGCTATGTAAACCTTCTTAATTTTTTTTTCAGTTTTCTGTTGATTATTCTACCGACTTTAAAAATCAAGCATGCATCTGTTAGTTTTAATAAAGATAAAAAATTGCATCAGTAAAAATAAATAAAAAATGCAAAAGGCAGAGATTAAACGAAGTTATGTGGAAAAGTAACAAAACATTGATATACATAACAACAATGATAGCACAAGATTTCTTTTTACAAAAAGATGGGAAGCAAAAGCACCATTGAAATGCAAAATTTGGTGCAAAGTAGTTGAGATGAGAAGGAACTACTTTAGAAAACTAGCTTTACAGTTTTTTGTTCTTCGTGCTCTACCTTCTGATTAGATGGATTGAAAACAGAATAACATTTCATATTTTCAATATCAATATTAAATATTTGATCAGATTGAAAATAGGTTTTACTTGGTTTTCAATGTTCTGTTGGGCCTGGGCCTGTTGAAAATTGGGTTGGCTACTAGCTCTTTAGCAGATGGCCTCTTAACAGGATCCGGGTCCAACATCGCCTGAACCAGATTTAAAAAAAAAAAAAAAAAAAAAAAAAATTGAATCATCAATCAGAAATACCATAACAATAATAATTACAATGAATGAGTAATAATACCTTGAGTATGTTCTGAAATTGCATAGAATGTCCAGGAAGAAGAGGGAGTTTCCCTTCCCTAAGATTTTGAAAATATGGACCAGAATCTGGCAATGTTGAACCCCTTATGAGTTCATAAATAGTGGCTCCAAGTGAGAAGATATCAACTTTGTCTAAATGATCATAATTATCATTCAAGATTTCTTGTGGCATGTATCTTGCATCCCCTTCATCAATGGGTAAGCTTCCATCTAAAAGACTTGAGCAACCAAAATCACCAAGCTTGTAAACACCATTCTTCACATATATATTTTCTGGCTTCACATCTAAATGCACTATCCCTTTCTCATGTATATATTGCAATGCCTTAGCAATCTGTAACCAAACCCACAATTCTAATCATCATTTACTAATATAATGATCAATATGATATAAAACATCATAGAAGATAACAAAACCTGGTGCATTGCTTCCAACACTTCACCCTTTGGACATAGTCTAGTGGACTGGTTGATCATGGAAAGGCTGTGATCACAGAGTTCCATTTGGATGTAGAGTTTCTCATTTTCAAACCAGGAAGTATTGTATCCAACAATGTTATCATGATATCCTGCAAGTTTATTACACAATTTCTGTTTCAGTTGATAAATCTGTACAAGTGTTTTTCTATATTTTGTTCTAGAGAAAACTAAGGAACTATGAAGAGGAAGCTCAAGTTACTCACCTAATGCAGCTAAAGCCTGAACTTCCATTAAAGCTTTTTGCCTGTAAATTTTGTCACTTATAAGTCATTTAGAATCAAAAGAAGTGTGGTTATACACACACATTCATATATCTATACATATATATCCATATTGAAACCTAACATGGGAATAGAGGAATACCTCTCATTGTCAAGATATAATTTCCTAGTGCTGCATTTCACAGCATACATGCAACCATCAAGTCTCTTCAACACTTTGAATACACAGCTGAAGTTTCCAGTACCAATTTGCTGGAAAAATAAATTTTTGTTCCAAAATCAATAGGCATCATGCCTTTTTTTTTTAAAAAAAAAAAGACCATAGAGCTACATGTTTTATATCAACAGTCATTATACCTCTATTTCATGAAAATCTGTTCGATAGCGTGAAAGACCATCGCCACCAAATGCAGCAGGGAGGAAAACTGTGGATTAAATGAATGGTTTAAGGTTAGAAGAGAGATGAACTAGACATATAAACCCCTTACTTGTTCAATAAAAGCATACATATCATCCAAGAGTGTATTCTTGAAGAATCTAGTAAGTAGTAGAATATTGATAATTTTGTTATAAGTAAACTGGAAAGAAAGAGATGATGTAGTAAACAGTTAAGTTTAGGAAACACTTATGAGTTATGAATAGTAAACAACTATATGAACAATATCCACAATACATGCATAAATACCAAAGCTAATAGCTATGTACCTGCACATTTTGATCTTCGGTCACCGAATGGATCAATATCATTATCTGAAGCATCCTGTAAGTAAGGATTCTTCATACAAGGAGGAGGCATTACCCGACAACGTAATGCCACAGCTGATTGTGAAACATACCCCTGCTTGCTTACATGAGGTTCTGTTACTGGTTGATTGTCTGTTTCAGTTTCTTCTGTTAGATCATCTTCCAGCTCCAGAAATGCTGTTCCAGTGCAAAATGGTTAGATTTTAGTTTGCAAACAGAAAAAGAAATAGAGATGAGAATTCAAATGCCACATAGAAAAGTTCGTGTCAGCCAACAAACCAACCTTCTCTCTGCCTTTTGCTTCTAACAGACTTTAACTTCTCTGGCGATTTTGGGCAAGGCATCTCTTCCAGCTAATAAAGAATGGAAAAAGCAAATCAATTGCAATATCTAAAAACTCTGAATGGACAAATAGATTGTATGTGTCCTATTTAAAATTTACCTTATTGCATCCTACAGTGACTGGCAGCGGTGGGGCTTCTGGAGTAATGTAATCAGGTGTGCTGCGCCCAAAAACATCATCAATATATTCAGATCAACAAAAGATCACATATTTATCTTAGTGTAAAATCTGATAGTTTCCAAATGAAAATGAAACGAAAAACATATATCTTGTAGTGAATGTAACAACATTAATCAGGTATTTATCCTCGTGAACTTTAATAAGGTTAACCAAACGTTTCCATTATAATCTGTGTTAGGTTTGAAGTGATGAGCGATCCATTTGCTAATCGAAATGAGAATAAGTGTAACTTTTTTAAAATGAAGGAAGGATAACTGTAGCCAATTTACAAACCCTAGATAATTCAAAAATAGCTAAAAAACTAAAATCGAATTAGGAACTGAAATTTACCAGAAGAAATCCTGACTGAGGATGAAATCTTTCTCGTCCACATTAACATCGGCGTCGAAATCTAGAACCGTGGCTGACGGAAACGACGATGTAGACGGCGTGGATTCCGATTTACCGTGAGCCTCCTTATCGAGCAGATTTTGAAACCGCGAAGGATTGTTATTGTTCTGAGGAAGCGGCGGCTTGAAAGAGATTTGACCTAGCTGAACAGATAAGTGTGTAGCCAATGAACCTTTCATCCTCATCTGTGTTTCTTTTTTGCTACTACCGCTCCTCTTCCTCTTCAAAATCGTACTCTTCATCAGTTGATCGCCGACCGTGCTCACCGTCACCGCAGCTGCTGCTACCACCGATTTCACTATCTCCCCGTCTCTCTGTATGGATTATATGAGAGACCCAACACGAATATATTGTGTTTGTTGGGGCTGGTGACTTGGGAGATATGTAAAGTGAAAATAAATTCAAACTTTGCGCGGGTGAATTGCTTTTTCGAGGCGCGTGTGATGCAGATTTCTCTTTTTGATGTGCTTTCTCTTTTCAGTCAATCGAGATCGTCCGTGTGTTCCCTATACTTTTTAATCCCTTAAACTATAGTGCCACATGTGGGGAGTTTTTCCCTGGAAATGTCTATGGGGGCTGGGTTTGCCCTGTAAAAGAGCTCAAACCCGGGATGCTGGTTGAAATATTGCGAGTAGGCTCCACTTAATTCGTTTGCCGTTTCCAAAAAAAAAGATGGAGCCCACCATTTAAGAGATAGTGTCTCGTGTAAGCTTATACTATGTTACGATTGTTCGTTTGGATCGGTTCACTCTAATCCAATTAAATAAATCAAAATTGTTTTTGGTTTTCAAAACATGGATCCAAATAATTTAAACTAAATTCAAATTCGATCCGATCCAACCAAATTACAATTAAGTTGAATCGGTTTTTATAATTCGGTTTTCAGAAAATAAAACATTTTAAAACCACATACAATCATTGACGGAGCTTGAAGTTAAGATGGAGGAATGACGAAAGCAATGACATATTAAAGACATTATTGCAGACACACGTCCTTTCATTGTGTAAGGAATTATAATTATTTGTCATTGTAATTATTTGTAATTTGTCTTTGTATGATTATTATTGTCGGTAGAAAATGTGATATAAAGTAGTGTCTACGATATGAAATAAAGTGTATATCCCTCAATAGTCTAGGGGGCTATATTGTAAATATGTATGTCGTATTGCAATCAAACGATTGCAATTCAATTATGTAACATACTCTCTTGAGCCTATAAATAGGGTCTTTACCCGTATGGAATAAACAAGTTAAGTTTGAGTGTTTAAGACTTGAGTTGATCTCAAAGTTCTTCCTCTGTTGAAATAATCGTTATATTTCTGAATAGCAGAGTCCTATCCAAACATACCCAAGATTATTCATATAATCATTCATATAATATTAAACAATCCATCGTCAATCCATTCCGACGCATCATTCAGGTATAATCGTATCCTAATTTTTTATTAATTTCGTCATGTCTTTAAGGAATGACGAAAGCAATGATATATTAAAGATATTATTGAAGACACACGTCCTTTCATTGTGGAAGGAATTATAATTATTTGTCATTGTAACTATTTATAATTTGTCTTTGTATGATTATTATTGTCGGTAGAAAATGTGATATAAAGTAATGTCTAGGATATGAAATAAAGTGTATATCCCTCAATAATCTAGGTGGCTATATTGTAAATATGTATATCGTATTGCAATCAAACGATTGCAATTCAATTATGTAACCGGCTCTCTTGAGCCTATAAATAGGGTCTTTGCCCGTATGGAATAAACAAGTTAAGTTTGAGTGTTTAAGACTTGAGTTGATCTCAAAGTTCTTCCTCTGTTGAAATAGTCGTTCTATTTCTGAATAGCAGAGCCCTATCCAAACATACCCAAGATTATTCATATAATATTAAACAATCCATTCTGACGCATCATTCAGAAATATATGTCATTTCGGTGGCGGGAGGAATGACGAAAGCAATGACATATTAAAGACATTATTGAAGACACACGTCCTTTCATTGTGGAAGGAATTATAATTATTTGTTATTGTAATTATTTGTAATTTGTCTTTGTATGATTATTATTGTCGGTAGAAAATGTGATATAGGATATGAAATAAAGTGTATATCCCTCAATAGTCTAGGGGGCTATATTGTAAATATTTATGTCGTATTGCAATCAAACGATTGCAATTCAATTATGTAACCGGCTCTCTTGAGCCTATAAACAGGGCCTTTGCCCGTATGGAATAAACAAGTTAAGTTTGAGTGTTTAAGACTTGAGTTGATCTCAAAGTTCTTCCTCTGTTGAAATAGTCGTTCTATTTCTGAATAGCAGAGCCCTATCCAAACATACCCAAGATTATTCATATAATCATTTATAGAATATTAAACAATCTATCGTCAATTCATTCCGACGCATCATTCAGGTATAATCCTATGCTAATTTTTTATTAATTTTGTCATGTCTTTAATTTTGGTATTAAAGCTAAGTTTCGTTCTTATCATTTTTATTATAAATATGAATATTCATCCGTTTCATTCAAAAGAAAAATATTCATCATGCATCATTATAAATGTTATTATATTTATGCATATCATTTGTCATACTCATCATAAAATTTAATAGACATATTAAACGCCACTATCACCATCATTTCTCAAACATAAATAAAATTTTGTTCTTATAGAATTAAAATCATGAGTTTTTCAAATCTAAATACTAATAAACAAGAATTAAATTTTTTTCGTAAAACATTGAAACAATCTAAAAAATTTCTTTTAAATCTAAAAATAGATTCTAACATATCAATAATTAATTGTATATCCAATATTGAAGCAATACATATAATAAATAATAGTATAAATTGGAAACAAGAAAAAATAAAAAATCTAGAAGATAAAATTAACAAAACTAATATGTTAAATATGTCTCGCGAAATAGAAAATTCATCAATCATTATTAATAATGAAGAAAATGAATCTAGATACACTTTTGATGTTTTATTTAACAAAAATAATATTAATAAAGATGCTATAAAAAATCAAACTTTACACTATCAGAAAAACATAATTTTAGAAATAACCCATTAAAAAATTTATTTTCTAGAAAAAATATTATATATTATGGAAAAATTATAGGAGAATAACCAATACCTATAGAATCAACTCAAGAAAATATTATTATACCCATAATAAATAAACAACAAATTAGAAATAGATTATCTAATATTAAAGAAGTAGATAGAATAAAAATTGTTTATATTCATATATCAACTATTCAAGTAATTTTAAAAAGTACTTTTAGCGATTTAGATACACCAATAGAATTAGAAATCAGAAATGATCGTATAATTAATAATCAAGAAATTATTATTGCAAAAGGAAAAGGTAATTTAATTGAAGGAAAAATAAAATTTAATATTAATATTCAACTAGGATTAAGTCTTAAAGATAAAAATCTAAGTAATAGTATTATTGTACGATATAAATTATTAAGACAAAATTTTATGTGAAAAGATAATCATTCGTTTACTATTGCATATCAAATAAATTATGCATTAACAAATTCTCATCATAGTATTACATTTAAAACAGAAGATAAAATTTATATAGATAAATTATTTACCCCTTTATTATCACTTGAATCACCAAATATGACTAATAATAGAATATTTAATGAAACTAATTTTCAACCAATAATAACTACTCCGTTAATAAAAAGAAATCCAATTATAGAACCTTAAATTTCAACTATAACAGGTAGATTCTCCATCTCGGAATGTCAACCTACAACATCTACTGAAAATCAAAATGAAAAATTAGAAGATATTAAAGAAATGATTAGATCATTAAGTTTAAGAATATGACAGAATCATCTAGTAATTCTTTAAAATATTTTAAAACACTTGAAGGTTCATATCAAAATACAAAACCATGCATACCAGATAAAGAAATGATTATAGAAATACCGCAAAATTTACCACAATGAACAATATATAATATTGGTCTTAGTTCTGAAGACGATAAATCAATAGGAGATAAATTAAATATAATTAGTCAAAAATTAAATAATATTATAGAAATAGAAAGTTTACTTGTATTAAAACAAATTCCTGAACTATTACAAAGTTTAAGTCAACAAAAAATATTACTTGAAAAATATTTAAAAATAAAAACTATTAAAGAAGAACCACTTAAACAAAAATCACTCACTATTAAACCACCTTTTACATGGTAAAAATAATTTATGAGCAATAAAACCCAAATATATATTGTAATTTCGATAATAAATATAAAGTTAATTTACTTAAAAAATTATGGAAAGATTTAGAAAATTCCACAAAACATTTAAAAGAAAAAGAATCTGAAATACACGAACTAATTTCTAAAAGCAAGAATTATACTGCATATCAATTAATTAAAATTGGAAGATTAAGAACTCAAATTAATCATTTTAAAATAGTAATAAAAGACATTAACAATTCAATTAATTTTCTTTTAGACGCTTTAATAATTTGTTAAAATGAATTCAAAAATACAAATTAATTCTTCAAAAGATAACATGCTTTGGACTAATATATTAAAAAACCCTTGGAAAATAAACTCTAATATCTCTAAAACTATTCAATATTTAGAAAATACTTTATTATATGAAGAAAACTACTTATTAAAATTATAACCAGAGAAAGAAGAGTATAAAAAGCAGCTAAATAAGATATCTCGATTAAAAGAATGAATTAAGAAATATAAAAAATCACAAAATCGTAATTTAGAAACAATACACAATGTTTCAACTATCCTAACAAACACAACTTGTTAAAACTTTGCAAGAAAAAGTAGAAACATTAATTAAATACAGATATAGAAATTTATAAACTAACTTTAATGGGTAAAAGAAAAACAAATATTAACCCAAACAGTACCTTTATTACAACTAAAATACAAGATAAATAACTAGTTTCGTATATAGATACGGGAGCTACTTTATGTTTTGGAAGAAGAAAGATATTAAAAAATTGGGAAAAATGAGAAAAACCATTAAAAATTACAATTGATGATAAATCAATTCACAAAATTTGGTTCGTAGGAAGAGACATAGATATAGTAATTGAAAAGCACCATTTAAAACTCCAACTATATATCAACATGATTCGGGAATAGATTTAGTAATGGGAAATAATTTCCTTAAATTATATCAACCATTTATACAAACAAATGATCATATAAGTCTCAATCATCCGACAAAAGGTATTATAAAAACTGCAATTATCAAACATTTTGATTTTATTAAAATAATCAAACAAGAAGTTGGTTTTCAACTACGTATATTACTAACGTTCGCT